TTTAGCATACCACATTGGTCCTGTCCATCTAAAGTGCCTCCCTGCTACTAGTTCTCCGTCTTTATCTTTCTCCTGAGATAGAAACGATATATGACAATATGCATATAATAATATTTATTTATTTAACAGGGATGGTTGTCGAATTTTAAGAAACGAAAGCATATAACAGAACATTATAAATCAGATAAAGCAGCAAGTGCACCACTTAATGAGTTACCAATGTTTTGATTAGAATTAAAATCATTAATTGCACAATATAATTTAAATGATATTTATAATGCTGACAAAACCGGTCTCTATTGGAAATTAGAACCCAATAAATCACTTTCTAGTAGTCCTTTTATTGGTACAAAAAAACCTAAAGATAGAATTACAGTAATGCTTGCATGTAATGCAACAAATACTCATAAATTACCAGTTGTTTTTTTTTATCAATATAAAAATCCTAGATGTATTTGTAATATTGATAAAAAAATATTATCAGTATGGTATTATTGGAATAATGCATCTTGGATGCAACGATTAATATTTCAATTATGGATTAAACATATTAATGAATTAATGTAAACACAACAAAGAAATATTTTACTTTTAGTAAATAATGTTTCTTCCCATTGATTAGAAAAAGATGAAATTTTAAGTAATGTTAAATTACATTTTCTTCTTCCTAATACTACAATGTATCTTCAACCAATTGATCAGGAAATTATTTGTTCTTTTAAATCTAATTATAGAAAATATTTATGTAAAGATAGAATAGATGTATTTGATCAATTTCAAGAGTATGGAATTGAAATTTCTACTTTAAATATTTTAAATGCAATTGATTGGGTTGCAGAAGCATGGAAAAATATAATGGAAAATATAATATATAGATGTTGGGAAAGAACTAATATTTTACCTGATAAATTAGATATTAATAATGAATTATTAGATAGTAATATTGAGGTAGAAGACAAAATTATTCAATCATTTATTAATCAGATAATAGTTGACAATAGTACTATTGTAAAAGCAAAAGATTATATTGAAATCGATAATAATTTAGAAACAGGTAATATGCTTAATAATGATGAAATTATTACTGCTGTTCAAGAAGCCCCTGAATATGAAGACGAAGGTAATAATGAAAATATAATTTCTATAGTATCAAACAGAACTGCTTTGGAAAGTATTGAAAATTTAGATAATTATTTACTACAAAATAGTGATATAGAAGTAAATAATTTATTTATTTTAGGATTAAAAGATTTAAAATGAAAAATTAATAGAAAAAGAATCAATTCTTTAACACAAATAAGTATGAATATTTATTTAAAATAATAAATTTTAAATAAAATTTTAATAAATAAATTATATTTAAATTAATTATGTAATTTTAATAAGTCGGTTCTTTTTTTAAGTCAGTTTATTATACTTAGCCATCTATAATCGACTTATTGAGTTTGCTTGTGTATGTGTAATTGTTATATTCTATATTTTATTTATATCTTGTAAACTATTTTATCAT